TTTATATTATTTATAATATGATACCTTATCGTTTGATTTCTATTAATTATTAAATTACCGCTCAATTTGTAGAAAAATGATATTGATAAAAGGGTAATTGATATAAAAGCAAATGTATATAGAAAAGAAGTCCTTAGTCCTTCGCTTTTATCTTAGACAATCGAATCTCTAGTTCTTCCTATGAATCATCCAATAAAACACAAATAAATTGATTATTTCACAAACATATAAATGATATAGTTACGAAATACAAATTTTCTCAAATAAAAAAAAATGATAGGTGACAATGACTGTGAGTGAACAATAAAAATTTTTATTGATGCATTTCATTGCTATTTCATATGCAAAGTTGGAGACAATAACAATAAAATAATGGATAATTGTGATTGAAATTGAATTTTTAAAATAATCAATGATAAAGAAATTAAAAAAATAAAACTTGTCTTTCAAATTCAAAATAATAAAAGATAAATCTAATCAATTTTTGTGGAGATATATATTTAAAATTTATGATGCATATATATATATATATATATATATATAGATTCTTAAAATTTTGCTAAATTTAATAAAGAAAGATAAATTCTAAATTTGATATTTTTGAATTCAAATTTTGCATAAAATTTTAAAATTTTCATAGATTTTCGTTTTGAATTGAAATAATTTATTAAATGTAATTATTTTATAAATCAATTTTAGAGATAATATATCTCTGAAATTTTTAAATTTGAAAAGATATATATTTAGATTATTAGAACATCCTAAGAAATAATATATTTAAATTAGATTTTGTTACTAACAATTTAAAAATTATCCATGTAGATATATATTTGGATAATTAAATAATATATTAAAAGGGTCATTCATTTAAAATTTGAAAGTTTTAGATAATTAAATAAAATTTTAAATATATTTTTTGTTAAATAGACTAAAATTAAGAAGTATCTTAGCTGTCATTATAAAGAAATTTTTAAAAAAAAATTTATGTGTCAAAAAAAGAAATCATCCACCTAAACGTCCATAAAAATAATTTTTACCATGTAACCTTGTATGTTATGTGTGTGTGTATAAATATATATATATATATATATATATATATTATAGATTGGTGTTAGTTTGAATTCTTCCTGCTACCTCTATATATTTTATAGAAAATGGAAATTATTAGTTAATCAGGGTAAAATTGACTTTGGCCTTGGCATTAGCTCAATCATTAAATAGTTGTGTGGGGTTGGTTATTTCACTTTCAAAATTTACAAACCCAAAAAAGTAGAAATGTTAAATTGCCTTAATTTTGCTTTAGAATAAGTTTCAAATGCAATTAAGATGATAGTAGATTTTCGATGTTGAAAAAAAAACTTATCCGAATTACATCACATAATTCTTTTGTAAATTGGTGACTATGCAAAGACTTGCATTTGATTTTCTTTCAAAGTACATATTATTGGCTGTTGGAAAGGTTGGTTTAAGTATAGATTTGATTGTTCAAAAGGTTGAATTTGTTATTGAATCTGATAAAAGAAGTCATCTCATAAATCTTCTACATGCACCGAGGAAAACTAGAGTTCATGGAAAAAAAATGACAGATTATCATATATGGACTTGCTTATTGAAGTTCCTTTGTCTATATGTTTGTCAATTCAAGTTAATTACCGGATATATTTGTTTTGAGGAATATTAACTGTTTAGGGTGCTAATTCATATATCTAGTTTTATTGAATTGACTGGACGGAGATAATAAACTTAAATAATCATATAAACTTAAATCTTTAGGGTTGCCAAACTATCATATAAATATTAAATAAAAATAATATCAAAATCAAGACAACTATCCTAATTGTGAGAAATCTCTCTCAAATGCAATCTCATTTTCTTTCCAACCTTCTTGGCAGTAGACCTGATGACCTTGGCACTAGATGGGTCTTTCTTTTTAAAAGTCTTGATGACACCAACAACCACAGTTTGGAGCATGTCCGTGACTAGAGATGTAAATGATACATTAGTAATCACAAATTATTCGGATTCGATTCAAAAAAAATTTGAATTCGGTTCAATTATTGTCGAGTCGAACTCGAGCTCGAGTAGCTCGACTTATCGATCGAACCGAATTCAAGTATTTTTATATCTGACTCGAGTAGCTCGCGAGCTTAATCGAGTTTTTATATTTAAATATATTTTTATTATTTTAATTAATAAAATATTTCGAGTCCGAGTTCGAGTTCGAATTCGAGCATGAATAATCGAACTCTTGTCGAATATACGAATCGAGCTTATTTTTACATATTAATCGAACGAGCTCGAGTAGCTCGAATTTAATCACGAATCGAGCTCAAGCTTAAAAAATAAAACTCGATTAAACTTGAGCCGAATATCGAACCCCGAATTGTGAGTCGAACTCGAACTTCTCACTACTCAACTCGACTCGACTCATTTACACTCCTATCCGTGACAGCAAAATGTCCAAGAGGTGGGTACTCAAAAAAAGTCTCCACAACCATTCCTTGCTCGGAAGCTAAAATTTTTAAAAATTAAATAGTACCAAAATCTCTAGTTGCCAAACTATCATATAAATATTAAATAAAAATAATACCAAAATCAAGACAACTATCCTAGTTGTGATAAATTTCTCTCAAATGCAATCTCATTTTCTTTCCACCCTTCTTGGCAGTAGACTTGGTGACCTTGGCACTAGATGGGTCTTTCTTTCAACAGTCTTGATGACACCAACAACCGCAATTTGGAGCATGTGTCCAAGAGGTGGGTACTCAAAGAAAGTCTCCACAACCATTCCTTGCTCGGAAGCTAAAATTTTAAAAAGTTTAAAAAATACCTATAAGCTAAAATCAAGAGGGAAAAAAAAAATGAAAGTACCTTGGAAATTTTGAATAAAGGTATCAACTTCTTGAAAAACCAATGAGCTAAATTTTACAGCCCCTTCTTGATGATTCTTTTACTGGCTTGCACATGAGTCATTTGATTATGGACGAAAATAAATAAACAAAAATATTTAAGATTATTGTATTGAATTTTATACCTTAAACATTGAATAAATAAATAATTGAAAGATAAAAAATATTACCTGATTGAGTAAATTGGTTAAGGGAATAGAGGTTCAACGGATGTAGATTAAGAACCAAAAACAATTAAATCCCATTTTGCTATACCAATTAACTGTTTAACCACACTTGTTTGCAGTATGAGTTTGCAGGTTAGATACACCATTAAGTAATGATGGTGGGGATTAACTGCCGAACATGCATCTATCTTAAAAAACAAAAATACTTTTAAAAGTTGGTGGATTGCTTATTAAAATTATTTTTATCTATAATTAATATATTTAAAAGCTAAAGATAATGTAAGGATTGTTTATAAGAAAATTAAAGATATTAAATAGTATTTTTAAAAGCTATAATAAATTTAAATAATCATGCTAACTATAGATAAATTAAAAAAATAAATTATTTTCAAATTAATTTTAAATTAAGATGAGTTGATGTATAGGAAAAAGGAATTTCATTGGAATTTAAATTGGTTTTTGATTAAATTTTAAAAATTTTAGATAATTTAATAATTTTTGAAATATATGTTTTATAAATAATTTAAAATTAATAAATATTTTATCTGTTTTCATAATAAAAAAATTAAAAATTATCTTATTTATTGAAAAAAAAATTGTTCATGTAAGCTATCACGTCAGCAAATATTATTTAGTAACTATGTATGTTATAGATATATATATATATGATATGGTTAAAAATAAAAATAAAATATTACTATTATAAAATTAAAAGTAAAAAAAATTAATAATAAAGAAATTATTTAATAATTTTATATGTTATACAGAGATTATATTATTGAATATTAAAAAAAAATTGATTGTGTCCCAAATGAATCCAATTGATTGACCCACGTTGACTTCAATTAGGTCATCAATTAACTGAGATTGCTAAAGTATAATTGGGACTTAATTTTGATATCATGTGTTATACATTAATGGATGATTATTGAATCAATTGAATAAATTTATGGTAGTAGTAGTAAAATTTTTGTATTATAATAAACATAATTTTGTTGTACAAAGAAAATCAAAATTTTTATGGAAGTTAAGGAAAAAATTTTGTGCTGAGCAAATCACATTGTTTAGTAATAGTAGATTAATACTAAATTACTAAAATAAAGGACTATTTCCGCTAGTAATGTAGGTCGTTCACAGCTGCTAAATAGGGATAGCAACAATTGAAATTGTGATAAGTTTTTGTTTGATTTGATCTCTTAACATTTAAATTCCATTCCGGCATCAAAATAATAATCTTTTTATTCGACTTATTCTAATTTGTAAATTTATAAAATCCAATTGATTTTATTGGAAATAAATTTAATAATTTTAATTTAATATAATATTCATGAAAATTTATTTTTTTAATATAAATTATATTTTAATTATATATAAATATAATATTTTATTAAATTAATATATAAAAACAAAATATTAAATAATTATTTTATTAATATAATATATATAAATAAAAAATATTTTTAGATATACTCCGATCGACTGAAACGATGCAACCTAAAATCTAAATTTTAACACAAATCCGACTTAAAAAAAAAATTCAATAATCTCTAACCTGACATTTAATTTTTAAAAATTCTGAACCTAATTAAATCCAAATACGAATAGTTTTATTTTGTAAGCCTTTGCTGACTTAGCAGCCACCGAAGTTATAATCTATGTGCTCAAACTCAAAGAGTCAAAGGCAGTGCTTTAGTAAAAAAATCTTGACTATACTCGAAACGTGTAAGACACGCGACACCGGAAAAGCGTGATGGAATCATGCATTGTTGATGAAGTTGCCCTCTAAATGGCGGGAGCCTTGCTTGGGTCGAAAATTCACACGCGCAACACACCCAATCATCTCTCTCTCTCTCTGTCTCTCTCTTTATATACATTTACGTACGTACATATATACATATATATATATATATATATATATCTCCTTCACTTGGCGTCAAAATCTCAGTATTTATCACACTAAAAAAATCTCCAAAAACCCTCCCATCCTTAAAACCCAACTTTCCCCTTTTTGTTGTAATGTATCTTTTTATCTTTCCGCTCTTTTCTTCTAAATTTCTTCAATTCTAGGTTTTCCTTAATTTCTTTATTGAACACCCTAGTTTTTTCTTCCTAGTTTTGGGTCTGCTTTTTGCAGATAGAGAAAGTGGGAGAGTTGGAGCAGTGTGGGACGTTCTGATTCAATGGAGGCTGCGACCAGTGTCGCTGCCGCACGGAGCGGTTCGATGAAGATGCCATCACCGTCGCGGAAGGAGTGGCGTGCCGTTTCCGACCATCACGCGGTTCGGAACTCCGGTGATGAAGTGGTAATTTCATCTAATCATGAAAATTTATTCGCTTTCGGTTTTGTTTGGGTTCTACGAAAATGTTGAAACGAGAACAAATTTGCGTTTCGAATCTGAAATTTTTCGTTGTTTGGGCCGTCGGAAAAACTAAAAAATAATTGCGTGGATTAGTTTAATTTAATTACTAGTGTTTCGTATTTTTAAGTCTTCTCCTTGAGTAAAAAAATCAGGGTTTCTCTATTTCTTTTTTCTTATCTTTTTGGCTCTCTTAATTTGTTTACTTATATACTCTGATTATTCATTATTAAGTGGTAGTACTTATTTTATCCTTTCTCGTAAGTTTCTCAGTAACAGAATTTGGACTGGCTTTTTTGGGTCGAGTCATTTATGAACCAAACATGTGCTCTAAATTGAAGCATTTTTTTTAATGCATCAATTAGAACATCTGGTTCACTTTGATGACAAAGTTTGTGGTCCATTGATTGTTGAAATAATTAGGAATTTGAGTTTGATTTATATCTACTGTTTTGAGTGTTTATGTAATCCCAAGTGTTTAGTGTGTCAAACCCTAGAAATTTTATTGGGTTTAGTGAAGTAAGGAAATGTCCAGCTGTGAATGGCGGAATTGAGCATCAAGTTATGTTTATTAGGTTGTGAAAGATTATTATTGCTATTATTATTGGAACATTGGTTTTCATTGTTTGTTTTAATCAGTTTTCTTGCGACATGCAGGAATTGGACAGATCAAAGTTGGGACAATCAGATGAGAGAACCATATATGAGGTAAGGTTTTTGATCTTAAAACTGAATTCTATTTTGAGAATGATGAAAAGTGAACATGGTTGAATGCTTATCAAGGTGCAGCATGGAAGAGAGCCTGATGATGTTAACTTTTGTTCAAATATGGTGGATGGAAGTTTAGATGATGACATATTGCAGCAGCGGATCCACGATGTTGCTAGACAGAGAGAGGAGCTCCAACAGATGGAGGTTGAACTCCGAGCTCAGGCAATTGCAAGATCAAGGATCCTGGAAATCCAGAGTAAATGTGGTGCTGAAATCAAAGCCCATGCCAATGCTGCTTCCAAGCTTGAGGTTTGATTTTAGAATGTGATTCAGAGTATGATTGTTCTGAAATTCAACTTTCAGAGGAAAGAAACGAGTCAATTTTTAACTGCTTCTATAAATTATAATATAATCTTTGATTTATGAAAAAAAAAAGAAAAGAAAGGAGAATTTACGTTTAATGTATAAGATTATAAACATCAAGAATTTTATGTCATCATGTTTTGATTGTGTGAGTGAGTCAATGAGTAAAACCTGTCTTTTTTTTTTTTTGTAGTTGAATCCAGGACGTATTGTTTTTCATTTTGAAATTACATATTACATCTCATGTTTGAAATATTCTGCATAATACCAGTTAGATTCATTGACACTTGAAATTATTCCAAGGATGGTACAAGTAGACTCTACTGAAGGTGCTTCCTTTTTCTGACTTTCAATCTGTATTTTGGCTTTATTTGCTTCAATAGGAGCAACTCCATGAAAGTGAACTGACCATACATGGATTGGAAAGGAAAATGGAAGAGAAAGATAGAGAACTACATGCCATCAAAGTGGAAAAAGAAGAGGTCGTTGATTTGTTCATTCTGCTTTTTGACAAACTTTTATTTTCTTTTACAATAGTATCGTTTTCAGCAAGTCATGCATAAATTAGTGCTTCTTGGATTATCTTGGCAGGCCTGGGCAAAGGAAGACCTTCTCAGAGAGCAAAATAAGGAACTGGCTACTTTCAGGTGTGCTTTTGTGATATGCTCTTAAGACTTTATTTGTAGTAACATAAGGCTCAAAACAATACCATTGATATGAATGTTTTATTTATATTTCCTGTTGCTGTGAGACCAGCAACACTGAAAGTTTCTAAATATATTAAAGGATTGAGTGTTTATCTGAATGGTAATTCTCAAATAATTAGCAGCGTCTTTCCTTGGTGACTGTTTTTAATACATTGAACTCGTAGCTGAGGTTTGAACCTTCTAAAATTTAGATGGGTTTCCTGTGCTTTTTTGTTTGGCAGAAGAGAACGTGATCATTCAGAAGCTGAGAGAGCCCAACGTATAAAACAGATACATGATCTTCAAGAGCATGTTCAAGAGAAAGAGAGGCAACTTATTGAGTTGCAGGAACAGGTCCATACATTTGCTTGGTTTTAATGATCTTTTTTTTTTTTTTTTTTAATTCTTAATTCTGAAGGTTAAGTTGTAAATATTTTGTTACGCTGTCCATAGTGTGCATCTGTTGGTTATTGAAAATTACAATTACTTATTTTCAGATTAACTTAATTTACGAGAACAAATTTGTTTGTGTTGGAAAAGGAAGCCATGCAACATTTCGAATTAACTGCAATGCTGATTGCTAGAAGAAATCAAGCTGCATTTCCTATTGTAATATTATTCTTCAGTGTAGGGCTACTCTAATGTAGTTTTATTCTTCAGTATAGGGCTGCTCAGGAATCCATTCTTTATAAGGATGAACAGTTGAGAGAGGCCCAAACTTGGATTTCGCGTGTCCATGAGATGGATGCTTTGCAGTCAAGTACAAACCACTCCTTACAGGCAGAATTGCGAGAGCGTACAGAGCAATATAACCAGCTCTGGCATGGCTTTCAGAGACAGGTTGATGAGCTTTTATTTTCTTGGTTACACTTTTCTATCTTTCCTTAAATAAATAGAATTGATGTTATTATCTGTGAATTTAAATTGACTTTTTCCTGGTTGTTAATGTTAGTTTACAGAAATGGAGAGACTTCATTTACATACAATTCATCAGCTTCAGCTTGATCTAGCTGATGCAAGAGAGAGGAATGGTTCTTATACTGATGAATCACATATATCCCAAGCGAATTCAAAAGATTTATCTCAATTTGGTCAAAGTAATGGAAACCAAGTGGATTCTAATGGAAGTGGCAGTACAAATGCTAATACTGGGGTCATTTCAAATGGGGCTTCAGACAATGTTCAATTGTTTGCTTCAGTTGGCAATGCACCAACTCCGGTAAGGTTGCTGATTTTTCTGAAGTGTCATTGCTGAGATTGTGTTGTAATCAGAAATTTAATATTAAAGCCATCTATATAGTGATTATAGGTTTACAACTTTCTTCATATGGTAATGTATTTCATTGGCAAAATATGATACAACTGTTTCTTTAGTTTTATTAAAGTCAGTGGATCTTTGCACCACTCCCCTCCCTTCCTCTTTCTACATTTCATCTAATGTCTGGTTTGACATGGTGCTTGTGAACCTATTTTAGAAGGTTTAGTTGTAAAGCTAGGGCTATTAAGTAATAATAGTTAATTTGTGATCCTTTTGTCTCCTTTATAACTTCTTTATTACTTCCTCTTTTTGTTCCCTTTAAATGACTGTGCTTACTATCAGAATCAGAATGACTATGTTCCGAGTGTTCCAATTGCTCCACTTGGGATGCCTCTGTACCTCCCTCATGGGCCGATGACTGCTCTCCATTCGTTTGTCATGCATCAACAGGGGGTTCCCCATTCTGTGGCATCTCATGTTGGACACTATTCAATGCCAGCTATGTCATCCATCGAACAGTGGCAGAATGGACAGGTATGGTCAAACAATGCTTTATCAATTTTGTCCCAATGTTTTCTTTGTTCTCTAATGTTTTTTCTTCTTGTTTTTCAGACTTCATCAGAGGGTTTCCAGCTATCTGCACAGAACCAACTTCCACTATCCCAAACTGATCAAAGCCGTGGGAGGTCAGATGTAAAGTATGAATATGAAATGTCAGTCAATGGACAAGCCATTCGACCAGACTATCTGAATCATATAAGTGAAGGGCGAGAGCCCAATTCTGTGATGTCATCATCTGCTGGGAAAGCACAGGTTCTTTAAATCAAGATGATTCTACTCACAATGCTTAGTATTGTTGTCATCCGATCTTTTAACTTGTTAAGATCATTTCTTTGCAGGTCCTTGATTCAATTAACGCAAGTTACCTTGAGGACCCCCAAAATGAGCCCTGCTTGCAGCAGGTTTCATCACAATTTCATGATGCATTGAGATTGGGGACTATTGAACAGAGCTGTGAATCTGAGGTTTGTCAGTTTGGCTAGTCTTCTAGTGGTTGCAAATCTTTCATATCTATCCTCTAAAATTTAAACTGGACAGGAACAGAATATTCAGAACATGAATAATCATGTTCTGGAGGACCATGTTCTAACAGCAGAAGAAGCAAGTACTGCTGCTATTTTAGCTGAAAAGTTGGTCTCAACCGGACAGACTAATATCTTGATATCAGATAAGACTTCAGAGACTGCTCTGCTTGATGAAAGATCATTGTTGGCTTGCATAGTTCGCACAATCCCAACTGGTGGCAGAATTTGGATCAGTTCAACGGTTAGTGGTCTGCAAATAAATTTTCTTGGGTCAACTTAGCTACTATGCATTTAAGCCTGCAAAACTGGGCTTTGACTTGTACCTGTCAATTGCAGCTACCAAATAGGCTGGGGAAAATGCTTGCACCTTTGCACTGGCATGATTACAAGAAAAAGTATGGAAAGCTGGATGACTTTGTAGCCACTCACCCTGAGGTTTGTTTCTTGCAAACTTTTACATTTTTGTACCCATGTGGATTATACTTTCTGAAGATTTGAAATTGTGATTTCAGTTATTTGTGATCGAGGGTGATTTTATTCAGCTTCGAGAGGGAGCACAAGAGATGATAGCAGCCACTGCTGCTGTTGCTAAAGTAGCTGCAGCTGCTGCAGTGTCCTCTCCTCATTCCTCATTTTTGCCTTCTGTTGCTGTTACCCCAATGGCACAGCCTAATCGACTAAAGAAAGTCCTCCCATCAATTGATTCTATCCATGTGAAGAATGAGAATGGTGTTTTCAAGGAGTATGCAGCCATCTCTAAAAATGCAGCTGATGATCATTCACAGCTGTTAGTAATGCAGAATCAACATCCCAATGGCATTTGTTTTGGTGTGACAGGAGGTCTCTCAAATGTAAAGATATTGAGCAAATCTAAAGATCCTACTGAAATTAATGGAGCAAATTTTGAGAGATTAAGTGTGACAAGTGTTGAAAGCAAGGCCTCTGGTCATGGAAGGTCTAATTCAGATTTTGTTGGAAAACAGCAGGGCAGGTATGTGGCTTAAAACCCTGCAGATAGCTGAAGGTCATCTATCAGTGTATGTTTTTCTGCTGTAAGCTTATTGAGCTTAATCATCTTTGTACCATGGCAGGGCTGCTGGGGCAGCAATATCTTTTAGAAGATAGTGAGTGCATTCACCTCAATGGTGAGTTATTGTTTAATTGTTGTGTTATATGTTCATTATACGTGCATTACAACGGCTCTTTCACCGGTAATTCTGATTTGCAACCAGCTGAATTTGAAGCATTTAATATAGTGAAGTACTTTGATAGTGTACTATTGCATTAGATAATTTGTTTCTCCTTTCCTGCTGGGATTGAGTGAATATCTAGATGCGGCATACCCTGCCTGAGATATTAGATGATCTGCTTGTGCACTAAGCGGTTATGGAATTGTATTGGCTCATCAGATATTTGGGGCAGGATTGTTAGGTTTATAACAATTAACTCAACCTTAATAATCTGATCCTAGTTTGTGACTGTAGCATATTTGAATTTCATAGTTTTTGTAGTCATCATTTAACTAAATTTAAAGATTTAACAATCGCATTTTGCTCTGGCAGGATATGGTGAATTGCAATGTTAAGGTGTGGGACATGCATTATGCGGATTGCAAGCATCTCGGAATTTGATTTGTTGTTAAATGTATCTCCTGATCTTTGGTCAACAGCATCTTTTGCATCTGAGAAAATTCTCAGCTGACTATTCAAATTGTTTTGCGCCATTTGGCCCCCCCATCTGTTAGAAAAACACTAATTGTTTTTCTGTGTTCTTGTCATACACAAGATGGACATTTTATTTCCTGCATCAGTATCCAACTATGCACGCACCTATTTGCAACTGTGCATCCGGTAGTTCATACTCATTTCACTTCGTGAATTCTTAAGTAATTAAAGCAATGGTGATTCGATTGAAATGTCAGCCAGCTGCTTGGTTTCCTGTTTGGAGTATTTCTGCTGAAATTGCAATGGAATGCAATCATTCGAACCGCAGACAACTTTGGGTCGTTATTACCTAAATAAAAATGCTAGCAATGCATGTTAAAGCTCAAAGAATGGTGAACAGACCTTTGCTCTAGTTGTTGATGCACTCAGCACCGCAGAGGTTGGGGAGTTACCTGGGACCAAGAAGCACAACTACTTAAAAGTCATAGTCAAAGATATAGGAAATTGCTCAATTGTTTTACAGCGCGCTCATTTGAGTAGCGGTAACTTGGTTCTGGTTTAATACAAACTGGACTTGGAAGGTTTGATCTTTGGGTAGACAAAGCACCGTTCTCATCGCTTAGAAATTAGAATAATAAAATGAGGGTAATGCTCTTAAACTAGAAAGTTAAAATATGATGGTAATGCCTTTGATTGCAAGGTTAAGGTTTTTGAGCCCAGCCTTGCTATGATTGAAGAAAATGGAAGCATCTAAATCTCTGTACAGATGCTTTGTATGGTGTTTTAAGGACGTTAGCCTGAACAGAAAAACGACAGTGATCAATTGGAGACTCTTTATCACTTTGCCTTAGTTGTATGCATATCAATGCAGACTTAGGAACCTTGAAACCAGTATTTCAATCAGTAATAGGCTAATAGTCAATATACTGCCAAGAGATTCAGGATCGCAATAGAACTATGTCCTAGAGATGACAAAAGAACCGAGTTAGCTCTCCACGTATGTATCTGCCACTTTTTTGCCACAGTTTCCTTAGCACCCAAAACAGCAACAAAATACAATCAAATGATTAGAGGCAGAGAGGTGCCGGAGGACCTCTACACAACATAAACACCAGGGTTATAGCAATGTTGATATCATCTATGCGTCATGCCTTCACTATCCCTAGCGTTGTCCATATGCTGAGTTTCGAAAGTCTTCACCACCACCATTTTCTGAGCCATCTTGTTTGTTTCCTTGAATGTTCATGAAATTGTTACCAAGCCCAGTTTGCCCGCCCTGATAAGTGCCACTAAGGGCAACAGATCTAAAGTCCACTTGTGGTTGGTTGAGTTGCTGTTGTTGGAGAGACGTCGGCTGCTGTGGTTGCTGCTGCTGATCATTCAAATGGAGAGGCATCTTTGGTGCTAAGAAACCTGGATGGTGCTTAGCTATTGCAGCTTGTGCAGACTGAACATGTTGCTCTGGCTGCACTGCAGACTGTGGAGGTATCTACAATGTTTTGCAAATTAGCTCAAATAAATGCATTCTTAGTTTTTACAAAGATAATAAATAGAAGAAATGTCTGAGACAGCACCTGGGAAGATGCTGATGCTGGTGGCTGTGCATCAGCAATTTTAGCCAGATACATTAAGTTCTTCTGCAGCTGTGCTTGAAGCCTGAATCACTTTTCTAAAATCAGAATAGATATCATAGTTTACAGTACTCATTAACAGACTGTCTTACTTGTAAAGACTAAAACATACAGATCCACTCATCCACCCTAGTTATTCCACCATGGTGGCCCTTGTTCTTCAGTTCCTTAAAATTTGTCAGACCAATAGTAAACAATCATTCTTCTCATCTTCGGAATATAGATGACCAAGTATTAATAGGTATTTATATGTGTTCTTCTGCAGTTTTTGCTGATATTATCATTTTTAGAATGTATCTACGATAACACAAAAAGCCGACAATTTGATCACTAAATCAACAGTTTAAGATGCAGGATATTTTTCTCAAACTTTATTCTTAGATGCTGAATTCCAGAAAAAAAACTTTATAACTTCATAACCATAGAAATAAGATTAATTTTTTTCTTGCGAATAACTCAAATTTAAGAGGTGACAAAGAAAACCACCCAAAGAGCAGCAACCACTAGGAGGCTTATTAAGTACATAAACATAACCTTTCCCTATCAGTTACAGAGGAGATGCAAGAAAAATACCAGATACCTTGAAGCATGAAAAGTTTAAAAATATAAACTTTTTAACATCAAGGAATGAGTGAATGTCATTCATCTAAACACTCAGCTCAATGACAAAAATCTGACCGCAATGGCCATTAACAATTAATAAATGTTGGAAGTAAACAAAAGAACATTAAATGTAAAAACGGTAACTCACGAGGCACTCTCAGGCAACTTTCCCTGGTTTTGATTCTCTAGTATTACCATAATCAACTCTTTATTCTCGTCCAGGTACTGCAACAAGCATGGTCCATTATCATATCAATATACACACGAAACAGATATACATTCTTTCTCAACAAATCATTCTTGATTCTTTAAAGAAAAAAGAGAACAATTTAGAAAGCAAATAGTCCACATCAATTTTAACATGTGCAACTAAGGAAAGAAAATGATAAGATTATGAAACTATGGTAAATGACCTGGAACGTCATTTTGATTACAGAAATACGGACCAAAAACAATGCATGCAAAACCCATCAAATATCCAGTATAATCAAAAGGTAAATATGCTGTAAAGATCAAATAACCTTTTGAATCTGCCCGGTGGTGATGTTCATAAACTGTGGAGGCTGCTGCATATTTTCCTCTTCACAATCACAAAAACAGAAGAAAATGAAAGACACTCAAATCCTAACCCTAAGTTTTCTTGAAATGGGAAGAAGATAGAAGGAAGAGGGACAAAAGTGGGCTGTTTTGCTCCACTCCACACTGTAATGTCTACTTCTGGCTCTGCTGAACATATATTAGTTGCCACGGCCCCACAGACAGCAATTACAAAAGGAGTACTAAAAATGTTTCTTCAAACGACAACGTTTAGTAGAATTAGTGAACAAAGCGGTGTCGTTTCCGTGTTAAGGTCGATCCTCCTTTTAACAATGAATTCATAGTTTCTACAGAAATACAGAAACAAAAAAAGCATAAAAAGAGGGAAGAAGAAAAAAAGGGGGAAGATCAACGATGGGGTACGTGTTGAGGGTGAGATTGGCTTCGTTCTTCACAGGTGCTGCGACGGCGTCGTTTCTTGGTTTCTACATCCTCTACAAGGATTACAAGGTTGCCCATGAATCCATCACCCAACAGGTACCTCATTTTCCTTTGACATTGTTTGGTTTTATAGCATACGGGGTATGTTTCAATTTCTTATGGAATTTATGTATTAATTTTGGGGTTTTCAATTATATGCTCATTTGCAAGTTTTATTTAGCAAAGCCCATATCCTGGAGATGGTTTCTGGAGGTATAGGAAAGCTTGGAAAACTAAATTTTGGGTATTTATTTTATTTCTTTTACTAAATTTTGGGTATTTTATTTGATTTTTTTTTCTCTCTATGTGGTTGGTGCTGCTTCTTTTTTTTTTTTTACTATGCATTTGCAATATGAAGGAGGCATTGCATTGCATACGTAGTTGCTTGGAGGATTGGTGGTTACGTGATTGTCGATGTTATATGCAAATGTAAGAATATGGTGTTGTATTTGGTATTGACTAATGCAATCTAATTTGAAAAGAAGAAACTTAGGCAAGAAACTTTTAGATGCAAATGAATTCTTGGAAACGTTACCTCCAAGATATAATGCCTAAATCAAAGAAATTCAAGATTGCACTTTCAGAATTTCTTGAATACACTTGAACCTTGAATAAAAAAATATGAGAGTGAGAGAGAACGAAATGATTCTTGAGAGGTTGTATGTAAACATGTGTTAAAATGAACTCCAATCAGTGCTAGAAACAACTCTTCATGGCTTCATGAATAAGCATGTCCTAGGTGAAGAATCATCACTTTTGGGATGAAGCCTCGTATCCAATGGACAAGATTTTTGAATTTCCGGCAAGGGCATTTGAATGCCGGAGCCATAATATTCGAATTGCACAGACATTTTCACACAGAATGTGAAATCCTGTAGGGTATTTGACTCCTCATTTCATAGCATTCGGACTTCCAAAGAAAAATTTCAGACAGATTGATTTTAAACTTGGTCATTCGAATTCCCATCAATTGACATTTCAATCTTTTTGCTTATTTTTCATTCCAAAAGCTATTTATTAACTTCCCAGCATCATTTTTCAACACAAACACAAATTACATGATCTCAAACCCTTGTATTTTGTAAAATAGACTTAAAACACTTCAGAAAACATATATTTTGGTAATATATACAACCTGTGGTCGGTTGTCCTTTGTTCTACTAGTGGGGTATAGGCTGTTATAGGTATCTCTTTAGATTGAATTTCATGGTCTAAATTAACCCAATCATAGCAGGCATGGGTTAAAATAGACTTGTGTGTTATTTGGTATGGGAAGAGAAAATTGCTATGGTGGATGAAAATGCTCGGTTTTGATGCGTAGGGGTTTTGACAATGCAAAACCTAGTTAAAATACACACTGCTTAGTTAACATTGCTAGTCAATGAAGTGTTTTCTTGGAAACCTTTTAGGATAAAAGGGATTCATTTTACCTCGCTATGTTTAATTTTGATTCTTTGTTTAGTTTTTGACATGATTTCAGTCCAATTATTTGGGATGGTAACTTCTGTTAATTCCTATTTCTAGACTTTTAGCGCCTTTTTGCTTTTCTTCTGGCTATGTTATTGTTGTTCCTGCCTATTGTTGGACATTTTTCATCTATGGTTGTTCATTATTTTGCCTTACAAAACCATTGGTATACCAACTATATATGTAATTTCTTCAAGATTGAAGCAATAAAATGTGACTATCATAAAGGATAGGATGGATTGAAGAAATAGTAATAACACCAGATGCCTGATTTGTATCGAAAGATTCCAATGCTTGGGACTCCTGATTAGACCCCCTGTCCTATGAGTTACTATTTACTTTTGTGATGTAAAAAAGATGAACCACCAAAAGACAATTGTTACTGAACAGAATAATTAACTAAAATGAATAATTTTTTCCTGTTTGTTTGATTGGATTGATTCATTTCTTTCTGGTCTCTAACGTACAGAGTACAGCCACTTTCGGGGATTTAGTTGTGCTCTAATAATTTTCACTTTTCCCCTTTGTCTCAAGGTGAAAAGTCTTCATGAGCCCCTGGATAGGCGAATCTCTGCTCTGGAAAGTTTGAAACAAGCTGAAACTTCACAACATGAGGAAGCAACAGAGTAGGTCCATGTGGCAAAATTTTTTTTTCCCAAACATGCAATTGGTTCCTGGGTAATGTTTTTTGTTTCTCACCTCATGATAAAAAATAATTGTATCTGAACTATTATGTACTTCTTTATGGGATGATGGTATTATACTCAACCAGTTGGCATGATTTACTTCACTTATTCGTTTTTCTATAATGGATGAAACGGTGATTGCATTTGAAATTTAAGTTTAAGAGAATGCAGACTGTTTGTGGTTTGCTGCATTTTTCAGTACTTTAACTTTGGTTAATTGCTGCGTCATATCTTGTCAGTTAGTTGTTGGCTCATTAGCTGTATCATGATTCATGAAACCTCATCATTGTTTCTACTATAGTAAAGAAATGCCTTCATTGAAAATGGTAAAAATATTAAAAAGCTGGATTTAATGAAACCATGGTATGATTATTTTGTGTCAAATGCTAAAAGCATATGCATCCCTTGGAGGCATGCAAGTAATTGCAGCGAAGGCCTTGGTGTTTAAATTAACTGCCTTTGCATCTTTTTGGGGCTGAAAAACTCTGGAGATAAGTAGATATGATCTGAAATTTCTCTCTGCTGGGGGCAATGATATTCTAACTGTAATTTCTGGTGTCTAATCTCCAATGACAAGATCATGACCAAAAATTAGCACCTTCGATGACAAGCTGAGATGTAGGGAGGGATTACAGTTCTAATTGCTCTTGAAGCTAATTAAATTAATTTAGTCCAAAGTTGTCATCTTGAAAGCAATGTTCCCTAGACCTTATAGTGGATGTCTGCACAAGTATTTATTAGTATGCATGGCAGCAGGCAGTCCGTGATATAGCAGAAGAGTTAATATTATGAATAATCTTTGAATTATAGTGAAATATTTAATATGATATTTTAATTTTAAATTTTTTAATATGGTACCTTAATTATGAATTTATTAATTAATGTAATAATCATTCTTAAAGTGATTAACTTTAAATGATAACATGTGAGAAATAAATAATCTTTCAAGTATCACATTAGTTAATGGATTGATAATTCAGATATCATATTAAAAATTTTTAATATTAAAATTTTTTAAAATTTAAATATTATATTGAATGTTTCGTTATAATTTAAAAGTGATTCCTAAGTTATTTACATTTTATGATTTCAAATGTTCACTTCTGTCAAAAAATTTATCTTGCGTTGTGCTTCTGTGCTTGTTGAAGGTTTTCTGGCAATATGTAAGGTTTATAGGAAAAACCCGAAGATTCAAAACCAATAAGTTCCAATGATTATAACCAAATTGATCGTTACTTGGGTTTAAACTTTAAAGATGGGCATTTAACTATTAAAACAAAATTCCAGTCCAGTTGCTTGTTAAAAGAAAAAAAAAAAAAGGTTATTGTATTCGTGGCCGAATTTTCTATTGCTATTTGATTCTGGGACGATGATCTAGTATTTTCAACAATAAGTTAGTCAATTCTCGTGATTAATCTGGCCGTTTGGAGTAAACTCTCTTGAGCTAACATATACATATTAAGCACATTTTAACTTGACAAGTAGGTCATTTATTTATTTATTTATTTTTATTTAAAAAAAAAATAACGTCCTATTACATAAAAAAAAAAATAGAGAATGACTTGATTCGAACTTTAAACTCTAATGTCTTCCTTGAAATTTCTTTACCATTAACCCCAAAAGCGGAAGACTATTTTTTTGTCATTGTCTTGACTCTTGAGTCCTTCCTAAAGATACCAATAATATCGAGAGATGTTACCTATCTGATTCCGGTATAATATGTCCGAAGTCCATCCACATGCTTTAATTTGCTGCTTTGTGAAAGGGTTTTGGGGTCTGATGACCCAATAGTATTTGGTTTCCAGTTTGGAAAAAAAAAATCACAGTTGGATGCAGGAACCAACTTTCCATAGCTCGGACACACCCAACTCTTTCTCAGGTCTAAAGTTTTTACATTATTATAGCATAAAAATATGAAAGATAAAGTGGTCCTGACATGCTGTGCTAACAATGGACAAAAAAAAAGGCCAAATAATAAATAATATTATAACAAAAATACTAAAATCACTACAGTTGTGCTTGGAGAAAAATTTTTGAAATACAATCATTTGAAATGCATCGAATCAAAATAATAATATTTATTTGAATAAGTAACTTTTAGAAAAAGAATGTTGAATATTGGCATTTAATGAGATAAAAAATAATAATTTTTTTTAAAAATTTATCAAGGATAAAAAAATGCAATATGAGTATCATTGATTTGTAGAAATATATAAATGTTACTAATAAAATGAAAATAATAAAATTTAAAATTTAAAATGAATTTTTAATAAGAGATGAATAAAATAAAAATTGCATAAAAATAAAATATTATATATGTCTATATTTCATTAAAATATAAAAAATTATGAAAGCTTTTTTTTAGGTTTATTAAGATTCAAATAAATAAATTATTCAATTTTCTAAATTAAAATAAAATATATCATATTTAATAATTTAAGATAAATAATTACAGATCGTATATTTAAGATAACTCTAATAAACATTACTAATAAGAATCGAATCTAAAATTTTTTTATCGAATAAAATAAATTTTAATCAATTAAACTAATCACTTATCAATAAAATTATAAATTTTAATCTTATAAAAAGAGAGTTGAAATTTTCCAAAATTTTTCATTTGGATTTCAAAATGTTAGTAATTTTAATTAATTTTATTAAATAAAATAATTTTATCTCAAAATTTTAAAATTTTATTTACAAAAAATTTCTCTTTAACATGTCCAGTCCAAATCCACTCTGAGCCCCAAAGATAAGATTCTGATTCTGAAATCTATTTGACTGAGGTGGAGAGCGGCAGGACCATGTGGTCACATGGGGATCCAAAGCTCATGTCCCAAATGTCAAAAGGTATAAACTACTAATTTAAAACGCATAGAAATTCCTATGAGCCTCCGCTATCTCTGAGTACAAATTAAGAAAATAGAATGCTTAATAGGTCTGCATTGAAAAGGAAAGAGCAAGATTTTTGTATCCTTGGCGGTGGCAGCGTGGAAATTCATCAACCACAACAGCCAAGGCGGTCCATACCGTCCTTATTCTGTTGTCCCCCGCCCCCCACCACGCACTATCTCCACGTAGCATTGTATTTTGTGCGCAACAAATGGACTTTTTTCCTGCATGGTTTTAAACCGAACATTAAAAAAGAGAAACAGGTTTTGGTCAGAATGCAGAAAATATTTCCATTAAATAAGCTCACAACAGAATTAAAAACACAGTTTTGTTAGCCAGGAAAACAATATCACATCTATTAGTATACAACTAGAGATGGAGGGAAATGGTTTGTTTGGTTAGGGCAAGAAAGGTGACAAGTCACGATCGTCGTATTGTTTTCATCAAGGTCAACGAAGGGTAATCAGCAGTTAAAGATGAGAAAAAAAATAAAAAAAATAAAAAAATTGATTTAAAATCATAAATTTTAATTCGATTTAAATTAAATATTAAATATTTATATTAAATTTAATTTAAAATCATAATATTTATAAAAATTAAATTTAAAATTAAATTGAATTTAAAATTTTTATAATATTAAAAAAAAATCAAATCACATATAATTCGAATGGTTATCCTTTTTATCAACAGTAACCAGTGCTAATAGTACTGATTTGGAATCGAGGAAAATGAATGGTTTTGCTTTAAAAATTAGGAGAGAGGGAATGGGTTGCTTGTTTTATTGCATGTGATTGGAACAGCCGACGGCCCATTTGTCTTTTTCCCAGCCGCTGCATCGAACCGTCCTTTAATTGTTTTCTCCCTCATTCGTCAATGCGTTCTCAATTTCATTTTTATTTCTCTTTTGACTCTTTGAGTGCCTTCTCCCTGCTTCTTCCTTGGAACCATCTTGTTTCAAAACAATGCAACATTTCTGTTTGGTCAATCCCCGTTGTTTTATTTTAATCTTTCAATTTTCGTACGATTTTCCCTTGTCGTATTCTGAAACTCAATTGAACCATTGTGTAGAAAACTCATTATTTTTTGCGATTTAAAAAGAAAAATTTTTACTGGAGAAAGAAGTCAAGCTTTGGATCAATAGGAGAAGTACTATTTACATGTACAAGTTAAAATCTTCAAAAATTGGAGTAGAATAATCACTGTAACACATGAAATTTGTGATACAATATAATATTCATAGATAATTTGATCTCGAAGAAGTTATCTCTACCCCGTGCAAGATAAGTCTCCCTACATCACGTCTCGTCACATCTCATTCAATGTGGCTTCGATTTCCAATTTCTTTTCACGTTTTTTAAATAATTTGTAAATAAAATTATCTAAGTATATTTAAAATTTTGTATTTGTAAATAAAGTTTTTTTAAAATTTTAAAATTCGTATTTTTGAAAACTTTTAAAAATTTTAAATTTGTAAATTGAAATTTTTTTAAAGTTTTTATCATAAATTGTTTAAATAAAGAAAAAAGTCTAAAAATTCACGACCATAATTTTTTTCTATCAAGTTGTAAAAGAACTTCAAAACAAGATTTTTTTCTTCAATTAATTTTTTTCTAAATTCTAAATATAATTTGTCGAATATATATCTGTAAATTATAAAATTTCTTGCCTATATATATTTAAAAATTTTAAAATTAAAATTAAAATTAATAATTAAATAATCTTATTTAAATTTTTTTTTAAAAAAAGTTGAGCACGAAGAGAAAAAAATGAAATGAAAATAAAATCGCCTATCATCCAAATTAAAAAAAAAAAAAAAGAAACTCTGGCCACACTCTACTAGTGCCAAGCCCCGAACCGATGCTCGCTCACTCAACATCGCTCATCGCTCATCACTAGAAATCATAGTTGTAAATTTTGCTTTGATACAAGTCATATCGAGTAATATACATTAATATATCAAAATATGATATATTTAAAAATAAATTTTTATATTAAATTTGATATTAAATAATAATAATAATTTTCATTAATTTTAATTGATTTTGATATATTTTGATGAATTAATATATTTTAATCAATATGTGAATATGAAATATATTTTATAATTTTTAATTTATATTTTATTATTTAATTATTTTAATTTAATAAAAATAAAATTAACTGATAAAATAATTTTTGAAAGTTAAGTTTTTTTTTTTATTGTGACTTAATTTCTTTTACACTTTAATTTTTCAAACAAAAGTTTTTAATTATATATATATATATTTTCAAACCAAAATTTATAAGTATTTCAATCTTAAAAAAGAATTATGCTCCATTTATAAAATTTAACAATTATAAAGTCTTGGTTAATTTTTTTATTTTATTGTATCTTAATATTTACAAAAAAATACTTATTTAAATATTATATACTTAAATTAAGTGTTTAAAAATATCATAAAAAATTATAATATTATTTTTTATACTTTTAAATTTATTTATTTGATTTTAAAGATATTATATATTTATTTTATAGATTATTAATAGTATTATAATAAATAAATTTATATATATTTATAAATATATTTATATTAAATTAAAAAATTTAAAATAATATATTAAAATAATTAATACCTATATACCATTATTTTAAAACAATCGAAACATTATTTGAGACAATATTAACAGCCTTACTAAAAACCCTTACATCACTCGCTAAGGGTGAGTCCTATTAAAACGCTAAGGTCGAGTAATGATCGTTCATTGCTCCATAAACATCACGGCATTTTAATAAACTTTGGGCTTATATTTTATTTCTTAAGTTACTCTTGCATGTCCCACTGTAATTGATCTTCGTTTTTTTCTTTGGTCAAATTGTACAGATAATTCTTGTACTTTATTA